CTAGGTCTGCTTTTCAAGTGCTTCTATAGTCACAGGCAAGGAGTCGCTGCTTCTCTCCCATCCTCTTCGTATTTTCCAAACATAACCTTTTAAAGGGGGACAACAAAATATCAATTTCAGTAACAAAACAATGAGGGGAAGCAACACACTTAAAAATGTAATAGATTTCATAGTTTTTACAGGCCCGTCCTTGACCCAGTTAGGGACAGCCATTATCAGCACATGTGCTACTGCAAGAATAACAACTATGTAACCTATTCTGGAGTGGACGCATCGCCACTCCGACCAGTTTAAGGCCTCCCCAACAGAAGGTATAGACGTCAGTCCAATGATTCCCATTAGGAGGAAAGCACATATCCCGGCGAGACAAGCCCCTTCTCCTTTCCACTCCATCCAAGACGAGCTGATTGGAAGGACAGTATCAGAGCTCAAGGTTGTATTCGCTGGTAATGTCACGGTAGCCGAGTGGAACCAGGAGCTGTAGTAAGTTGGAGACAACATCAGCACCGACGCCACCACGTGCCCGGACACCAAAAACATGCTGATCAGTCCTAGTTGTTTTCTGCTCCTTAGCCAAGAATCTAGGACTTCAGGAAATGGCTTGTGTTTTGTTCCGTTGTAGATTTGTACCATCGCCGCTACGTGACCTGAAATGAATATGTATTGATGTATCAATGCCGACAATGGACCAATTCCACACACACACAAAAAGAAATACTGACACCCTAAAAGATCTTATCATCAAGGAAGATTGGCTAGTAAACAGCATCTTGTCTCGGAAACTGAAATAAATTAGCTATATCAAGCGCCACAGCTGAGTGAAACAAATAGTAACAGACGACGGTTTGCCACGAAAGAGGGGCGAGAACCGATTAACAGGAAGATGGGCACACAATATACGAAACACCTTAGGTAGGAAAGTGGAAGAAGCCGTGTAGAGTGAGAGCGACGGGCTGCAAATGACTTGCTACATGATGATGATTTAATAACGAATTCGAAAACTGAAATACATCCTACTATGAAGCTGGCAAAGAATCATAAGAAAAGTACTGAAGTGAGAAGTAAACGGATTGGGAAAGTGACAACGTTAAAGACATACCACACGACAAACATTTATACAAGAGGAGCTGAACTAGATTCAATACATGATAATAGATAAGTTTCCACAGATAAGAGTATGACAGATGCTATAAAGTGGTCCATAAATCCCTCCACAACGACCTAATATTTGTACCACACAACTCTCATGACACAGAAGCCGCCGGTGTTCCATGGCATGTTTATTTTTTTTAAACTACATGTCTCTGCAGTCACCGTGTTTTAAATAATTGCACACCGCGGCATGAGAGTTATATGGTTACAAATGTTCACTCACTGTGGCTGAAATTATGGAACAGCCCCTAGTGTTGTTGCGGAGTCCGTGACTTAGGCGTTGCGAGTCGACTCACAATTCCTAGGTGCCGCGATCGAAGCCCACAGCTGACTGCGTGGATTGTTATCGTAGAACGTGGCGTCGCAGGTCGACCCAGCCTAAAATGGGCACCAGGATGTATGTGCTGGGGAAGTAAAGATGGCTGGCGTAAGGCTGACCACATTACCCACCTAGTGCCGATTTGTCTGTTAAAATATGGGTGCTCTTCCATATTCCCGATGCGCCTAAGGCGTAAAAAGGATCTTTACTGTATTACTTTACTATAGTATTGTTATTAATGTTGGTGGTGACCATACTGGTATTTTTAATCACGATAGCATTGTTGGTCAGAAGGTTTAACAGATTGTTAATTATGATGATATCTTGAGATCATAAATTTTTCCTGTGGCAGCTCACGATTGTGAGTCATGGATTCTCACTCAATCACTAAAGAAAATGATTGGAGCTTTTGAATTAAAATGTTACAGAACACTTCTCAGAATACCATGGATCAACAAGAGGGAAAATGTCAACATTCTGTACCAGTTAAACATCAAGGAGAACTGGCTCATAAAAAGCACATTGTCCCGAAATTTCAAGTATTTTGGCCACATCAAACGTATGGTGGCTTGGAAAAGACGGCTATGGAGAGTGCAGTTTATGAAAAACGAGACAAGAGTCGACCTCTGCAAAGGTGAATAAAGGTCACTGAAGAAGCGTTGGCACTGAAAGCTAGAGAGTTGGCTAGGGAAAAGGATACTTTCAGGCGTGCGGTGAAGAGAGAGCGACGTCCTGTAAAAGACTTGCTAACTGATGATAATAAAGAGGATGATTATGCCGATAACAGATTCTATACTGATAATGATAATATTGTTGATATTAATGATAATGAAGAAATCAGTGAATATGATAGTATTGTTGGTGATGATGAATAATTTGTTGAATTGACATTGGTAATTATGACGTGAGTAATACGGTCATGATGCTGATAATGAACATGATGATTATCATAAAGATGATGTTGCTGATAATGATATTATTTCTTATGATGCTGATATTATTTAAATTAATAGTTACTGTATTGATGATAATGACCGTTCTAATAATCCATAAGAATTCTTGCAGGAGCCATGTCCATCTGTACTGATGATCCATGAAGACTCCTGTAGGGATCATGTCCATCTGTACTGATGATCCATGAAGATTCCTGTAGGGATCATGTCCATCTGTACCGATGATCCACGAAGATTCTTGAAGAGATCATGTCCATCTGTACCGATGATCCACGAAGATTCTTGCAGGGATCATGTTCATCTGTACCGATGATCTATGAAGATTCTTGCAGGGATCATGTCCATCTGTACCAATGATCCATGAAGATTCCTGTAGGAATCATGTCCATCTGTACCGTTGATCCACGAAGATTCTTGCAGGGATCATGTCCATCTGTACCGATGATCCACGAAGAATCTTGCAGGGATCATATCCATCTATACCGATGATCCACGAAGATTCTTGCAGGGATCATGTCCATCTGTACCGATGATTAATGAAGATTCTTGCAGGGATCATGTCCATCTGTACCGATGATCCATGAAGATTCTTCAGAGATCATGTCCATCTGTACCGATGATCCACGAAGATTCTTGCAGGGATCATGTCCATCTATGCCGATGATTCAAGAAGATTCTTGCAGGGATCATGTCCATCTGTACCGATGATCCATGAAGATTCTTGCAGGGATCATGTCCATCTGTACCGATGATCCATGAAGATTCTTCAGAGATCATGTCCATCTGTACCGATGATCCATGAAGATTCTTGCAGGGATCATGTCCATCTATGCCGATGGTCCAAGAAGATTCTTGCAGGGATCATGTCCACCTGTACCGATGATCCATGATGGTATTAACGGTTACAGTGCCCCTGCTTACACCCCGCCCACACCCCTTCCCGTCCATGCACGGGTTACAAACACACACACACACACACACATACACACACCACCCATAAACCGTGATCTAGATTTGTTGAACGATAACACTTCAGATCTCAATATCAGTGTCTATTATATTACCATGTTTACCTGTAACCCCAAAGTGACTTACCTGCTAGATACGTCAAGGCCAGTGTTGTAATGGCGGTCATACACAAAGGTTTGTTGAGAACTTTTAAAAAGATCTGCTCCCATTCAAATTCTGCTGCTTCAATGTAGTAAATGTAGACAACGTAGAACATCCACACGTTAAAGATAGCAAACGTGAGAACCAGTGGCATCTTCCAGCGAGAGAACACTTTCAAAACAAAGTCTTCCATGTAGAGTGCAGACTTCAGCCCGCCTAAATCAACAACGCTGAATCCCATAGTTTTAGCGATATCAGCAACAGTGCTACGAGCCGCAGGGTCGTTGCTGGCAACAAAGACTTTGTGGCTTCCGCCCGCTGAGGACATATCTTCCATAGAAAAGGACGAAATGGAGTTGAATGCTTTTACAACCGTTGCATTCGGAAGGATGGAGGTCAACAGGTCAGCGTTAGATTGTACAGAATATCGATGCTCTCTGTTCGATACATCTATCAAAATCTTTCCTTTACTTTCTCTGACGAACTGTCTCAATGTCGTTTTGAAATCATTCACGTGAATTGCCACAAAAATTACCTGACATTTCTTCAGACACTCGGATATTGAGGTTACCTGGACAGCAGAAAAGCGATTTTCTGAGAGTTTTAATCTGCGTTTTTCTGGACAACGGCTCCCCATAATGACATCATATCCGGACAGATTTAAGCGTTTCCCTAGTGCCAGGGCATAGTTGCCTGTTCCGACAATCCCTAGGCTAGATCTTTGGTGAGTCTGGTAAGTAATCTTCGTCATTGGTACAGTGACTTCTCCAGCCATTACCTCTTATGCTATTGAAGTTTTATAAAATCAGCTAAAAGTAATTTTAGTTTGCTTGTTTTAAAATGTCTGACGTCGCTCTTCTGTTTAATAATAAATCATTAAGTAGAGAATCTTTCTGTTTAATTTTTGTGGACGGTCCTGGAGTCTTTGGTTACCCAAACCAGACATTGACCAGATGTTATTCTAAACTTCCTTGAAGTTGCATAAAGGCAGGATATAGTTGTTTCAATTCACAGACTCCTGGGTTACACTTTCTTGAAGTTGAACGGTTAGAATATAGTTCACTAGTGCATACATGCATAATATAGAGGCAAATTAGCTAATGTTTGTGAATATTTGTCATAAACACATGGCGTAACTATGTCAGTTTCCGAGTCGATCCTTTGTTTTTTCCTAATCAAACAGCCTAACTAATTTTGCTGTAGTGCTTGGAATTTAAACCAGACACAGAATTTCTCTCAATGTACAAGTTTTACCAATCAGATAAAATGTTTTTCGTCGTAATACAAACACATGAAGTCTATCATATCATGATTTTGTTCCACTGATTTACCGTTTGTAAAAGAAAACGTCGTGTAGTTTCAACTGATTTCCTGCATCAAAGCGTGTGCTTTTCTGGAACTCATTCGGGAATTTGGTAATTAGTTCAATCTTCGTTAAGATTGGTTACGTTTGTTGTCTGATGTACAGTTGACATCTGAAATGTGTAGGTTAAAATATTATATATATTATATTTCTCAGTATATGGTAAATTATTGCAAGTTTGTTAGAGTAACTTGAAGTGTCTTGTTGTTTTTTCAACTGTATAACCGTTGTATTTTTTTTTTTTTTTTTTATTTTGCATCAGGTAAGTGGTATTTTTAAATGGGATAATCACAGGCCACCATCATCAGTCACTATCAAGTAAGTGGGATAATCACAGGTCACCATCAGGTAAGTGGGATAATCACAGGTCACCATCAGGTAAATGGGATAATCACAGGTCACATTCATGTAAGTGGGATAATCACAGGTCACCATCAGGTAAGTGGGATAATCACAGGTCACATTCATGTAAGTGGGATAATCACAGGTCACCATCAGGTAAGTGGGATAATCACAGGTCACATTCATGTAAGTGGGATAATCACAGGTCACCATCAGGTAAGTGGGATAATCACAGGTCACTATCAAGTAAGTGGGATAATCACAGGTAAGTGGGATAATCACAGGTCACATCAGGTAAGTGTGATAATCACAGGTAAGTGGGATAATCAAAGGTCACCATCAGGTAAGTGGGATATCAGGTAAGTGGGATAATCACAGGCACAGCTCACCATCAGGTAAGTGGGATAATCACAGGTCACCATCAGGTAAGTGGGATAATCACAGGTCACCATCAGGTAAGTGGGATAATCACAGGTCACCATCAGGTAAGTGGGATAATCACAGGTCACCATCGGGTAAGTGGGATAATCACAGGTCACCATCAGGTAAGTGGGATAATCACAGGTCACATTCAGGTAAGGTAACCATCAAGGTAAGTGGGATACATCATCAGGTAAGTGGTCACCATCAGGTCACAGGTCACCATCAGGTAAGGGATAATCACAGATAATCACCATCAGGTAAGGATAATCACAGGTCACATTCAGGTAAGTGGGATAATCACAGGTCACCATCAGGTAAGTGGGATAATCACAGGCCACCATCAGGTAAGTGGGATAATCACAGGTCACCATCAGGTAAGTGGGATAATCACAGGTCACCATCAGGTAAGTGGGATAATCACAGGTCACCATCAGGTAAGTGGGATAATCACAGTAAGTGGGATAATCACAGGTCACCATTAGGTAAGTGGGATAATCACAGGTCACCATCAGGTAAATGGGATAATCACAGGTCACATTCATGTAAGTGAGATAATCACAGGTCACCATCAGGTAAGTGAGATAATCACAGGTCACATTCATGTAAGTGGGATAATCACAGGTCACCATCAGGTAAGTGGGATAATCACAGGTCACAATGTGATAATCACAGGTCACCATCAGGTAAGTGGGATATCACAGGTCACCATCAGGTAAGGATAATCACAGGTCACCATCAGGTAAGTGTGATAATCACAGGTCACCATCAGGTAAATGGGATAATCACATGTCACATTCAGGTAAGTAGGATAAGCACAGCTCACCATCAGGTAAGTGGGATAATCACAGGTCACATTCAGGTAAGTGGGATAATCACAGGTCACCATCAGGTAAGTGGGATAATCACAGGTCACCATCAGGTAAGTGGGATAATCACAGGTCACCATCCCAGTGATAATCACAGGTCACCATCAGTGGGTAAGCTCACCATTAGGTAAGTAGGATAATCACAGGTCACATTCAGGTAAGTGGGATAATCCCAGGTCACCATCATCACAGGTCACCATCAAGTGGGATAATCACAGGTCACCATCAGGTAAGTGGGATAATCACAGGTCACCATCAGTGGGTAAGCCACCATCAGGTAAGTGGGATAATCACAGGTCACCATCAGGTAAGTGGGATAATCACAGGTCACCATCAGGTAAGTGGGATAATCACAGGCCACCATCAGGTAAGTGGGATAATCCCAGGTCACCATCAGGTAAGTGGGATAATCACAGGTCCAACTTCATAGCTGACCCGGTCCTATGCCAGCAAGAACTGTACAGAAGGTCCGTCACTGTCCCTTGTGGCAAAACACTGACACAAACTGCAGGATCAGCAAAGCCAATATAGCATATGGTTTTGTTTATTCAACGGATTAATATCATGGCATACGGGTGTAACCCATAAGTGCTCCGTTCTTCTTTCTAACTCAAGCCTGAGCATGAAATATCTCAGGGTAGATTATAAACTCCAAATTTTGCCCGGCAGCGCCGTTATTCTACTCTTTTCAATTTCCAACTGCCAAGGTATTTTCTACGTGCGCGACAATACACTTAAGCGTCTGGCCAGGGGTAATTACTAGAAGTCCACATGAAAAAAATCCCATAACCTCAAGGGAGCTTGAACCCGGGACCTCTAGCACTCGAGACAGACAGCATGACTCGAGACCACTAAGCTCCCCCCCCACCCACGCCCCCCCCCCCCACCTAAGCTCCCACACGCCAACAGCATAAATACGTATTCAATGCACAAGGCAGCTCTCAGAAGTACCAATACAAACAGACCAACACT